CTAACAACTACTGCAGAGAACTCACAGATGTTGTTCAGCACTGTTTTCCCAAAAAGATTTCCTTTTATTTGGGTCGGTCTTGTTTTATGCTTAGTCATTTTAAAGCAAAAAAAGCCTTGTTTTCAAAATGTGGATCAGCTGTACAGAGACATAGGGAGGGCTTCCAAAACATTCAGGGAAACTGTTTTTCTGTTACCATATGCCCTGGATGATTGCTCTTATTTCTGCTCCGGGGATTGTACTTGGACCCTGCCTGTTTCTGTTCGAGGTGTGTTGTACCACTCTTCTACAGAACAAGCTGTTCTTTTGAGATCCCCATCCCTTACAGTCCACAGACCCTGATATGGGGACTGGACACGACATTGCCCCGGCTGCCAGAGGAATTGTCCTCAGCTGTTCTGCTTTCCAAGAAGAAATCTAAACTAGCTGTCCACCTTAGTAGTTATTTTTTTAAACTTCTGTAAGTAATGCACTCTGTTTAAGAGTTAAAATGGACTAAGATGTCCCATGTGAGCAGATCTGGCTAAAATCTCTGAGAACCTGAGTGCTTTGCCTGTTTTGGGAATCTCAAGGAAAGGATGGAGGCTGGCATCAGTGTTTACTGTCTTACCTTTAAACCTGTCTTGCTTTCAAGATGCAGTGCTGCCTGAAATGATGGGGAAAAAGTATGAGAAACAGAATTTTGACCAAAGATTCTATGTACTGCAGTTTGTGATTAAAAACCTGAACAATCTCAAATACCTACCATCCTTTCCTAACTATTTGGGAAATGTTGACAAGTATTGCTAGTTATTTCCATATAAACAGAGAAAATCCTGCATTTTTATAACACTGTATTTTGTCTGGACAGCCATTATATGATAAAGAACATAACTGAATCAACTTTGTTTATTTAGCATTTGCTGTCATAACTACAGGATATGACCATGTTGGTGATTTTACTGCGCTGAGTGAAATTAGTAATGTATCAAACATCAGCTCATCTGTCAAATTATTTCTATAATAGTTTTGGTTCTTCGAGGTGCTTTTGCTGTGTGTAGTATATTCTGAATGAATTTAAACAGCTGTAGTTTATGCTCTACTTGTTGGTAGATTAACAGATATATTTCTACAGTAATAGCTTCCCCTTTTTATCCTTCCTCTCCACTGTTAGAAACAGATTTAGCTTAGCAGTTATTGGAAATGAGAAATTAAGTATCCAATTATTTTAAGTTATTTTTGTATTACCATATCTTTTAAGAAGCTGTAGGAAGATTACTGAAGGATTATTAGGTTGTAGTTTTCCAGTGGTTGCTGGTAATTCGCTGTGACTAGCACTCTTAACAACTTGTACTGACTGGTATAATTAAATGTATCAAATTTGCCCCAGTTTTTGCTAGATTTATTGCCAATTAGTCTTCTTTTTAAATCTCACTCATATGCTATGCTACTGAAACATCCACTTTCAGAAGCAGATATTATCAAAGTATTCTGCTACTTCATCTATTTGCTCTTATTACTGTAACGTACACCAGTTCTAGATCTCTGTTTCATTCTTCTCTCAAAGCTTTTGTATACACTATTCATGTTATATAGCGAGGCCAGTTGGCCAAAAAGAAAAGATATTTTTTTATTTCTGAGCTTACTAGAGAATTTAAAAAAACTATTAATCTTAAAAATAATGATCAAATAACTTACTTTTTTTAGGATCAAATAACTTACTATTTAGAAGAATTGGTATTACAGAATTGTAGATATGCTAAAAGATAAGTACATTTCTTCAATGTAGACAAATTACCCAGGCAACATTGGAATTTGGAGCTGTGGTTTTCTGGGATTTTTTTCCCTTTTGAGTCTTGTGGGTATTGGTCTGTTTTGTTATCACCTTACTGGCCTGATTGCTGTCTACTTACCTTTTTCACGTAGATTCTTGCTTTGTCTTAGGTGTTTCCATATTGCATGTTAATGTGGGGAACCCTCTTTTATTGAAATGTATTCAAATTGTTAACTGAAGGCCAGAAGAAAGCAGCAAATTTTTTTATGTGGAATAACAATATTGGAATATTTAAGAATAGGGCAACTCAAAAAGGACGATGAAGATGGGATGAAGTGAGACATATCTGACGTCATAAAAAAGAGAGGCACTTGGCCTGAGGAGGTTTTTTACTATATAAATAAATTGAATTCCTCTTTCACAGTGTTTTGTGCTACTTAAATGTGCCAACCTAAGCTGTTTCAGCACTTTGATCTTCTGCCATGATCTGGCCCTAGCTGTACTTTCATCCTTTTCAAAAGTATTCTATCACAGCAGTGAATTTGGCCCTAAGGAAATAAGTATGCAGATTTCCTTTCTCCATTAAATATTACCTAGATGCCTGTCTTTATTGAACAAATAAAGGATTAAGGTTTTAAACCACTAACAACAGAATACATGGTGTCACCTTAAACAAACCCCTAGAGAGAAATGCAGTATTTCCCAGCAAGGGAAGTGGTTTTGGATGCAATCCTGATGTATTTTATGTGAAATGCTTTTTTTTTTTTTTGTGAAGATTTGAACATTGTGCATGATAGTAGTTATATCCATAATGTTTCAGCACAGTTCATATGTGAAATTCTGTCTGGCTTCCAGCTCTCCTGCCCAAAAGGCAGAGAGTTTAACCAGTTCTGTGTTGTATCTGCCAGGTCTCTGCTTTGGAGACCCCATGTCTCCATAAGACATTGCTGAAGTCTGTTTGGCTTGTTCAATTCACTTGTCCTCAGTCTCTAACACAAGGGGTATAGCAAGGGAAGATTTAGTACTGAGGAGAATTTACTTCCTTTTTTTCACTCTGCGGTGAAAGATGTAGTTAAAGGTGTTCAGAGATGGTAGGAAAACTGAGGCAAATAATACTCATTAAGGAACTTCAATTGCTTTCAGTCATTAAGCTTTCAGAGTGATATTTTCCATGAAGATATCCCCATAATGATAATTTAATTTCTGTAAATTTTTTTGTGAATGGAAAGTACCTATTCAAATTAACATGCAGTGAACATCAACAAAAACTCAAATGTTTCTGTTGTTTTCTCTTGTGATCCAAATATATTGAAGTATAATAAAGAAATATGAAGTAAAATAAGACAATATCCATTGCCTTTTGATTGTTTGTTTTCAAAAGGAAATTGTGATAGTTGCCTTCAAGAACAGAATTAAGTTTTTCTAAAATTTAGTCTTGTCCTTCTTTCAATATGACACATGATAACTTCCTTATGTTGATATACTTTTGGTATTTATAAAGATTCATGGCAGTGGACAAGCTGTATGTGACAATTTATAGGTGGCCACCATGACAATTTCAGTATCCCAGAACCCAATAACTTGTGTTGAGATGGAATTCAAATTTAGTGTTAGCTAGGCAGAGTTCAGAGTCTGGATTGACCTCATCTAGTTGCCAAGGAGCATAGCAGCTTCCATCCTGCTTTCACTGAGGACCATCTAGGAAAGGCCACCCTTCCATATGTGCTCTTACTGGAGAGAAGATGCAATACTTGTAATTTTATATGATACCTTATTCTGCTGCATTTTGTTACCCTGTGTAAATAAATTTCCATTGCGCTGCTACCATCAAAGCTGTTAATTAAATATCATTTGTATTAAATCTGTATTCTTTTGTTTTACAGATGATGTCACTAATACCCCTCAGGAAGCTCTCCTTGCTGAGGAAAAGGAGAACGTTCCAACAGGACTAGGAGCTGTGGCGTGGAAAGTCCCAGAACAAACATAGCTTGTGACTTAGCTACTGGTGCTGCTCAGTCTTCACCTCTTTAAATTAAAATCAAGCACAACTGCCTCAGAAACTTGTGGACAAGAGAAAGGTACTGTGCATTGCCAGCATGTTGGTTGGGTAGGAAGAGAATAAATCTGCCATACAGATATGATGCTATGATTTTATTAGAGACAATATCATTTGAAGCCTCAAGTTTGAAATGCTTTTTGTACTGAGAGACTTCCAAACACAACCAGATTTTGTAGGCAATAAAATAAACCAAATATGTATGAGGCTTTTGTCTTTTTGTGAGGTACTTGATGTGTTTTCTGGATTCACTGAACAGATTATTGATATAAACATTTTATCACTTGTGGTTTCTTTTCTTAATTAATTTTTAAAGTGGTTTCACCACCACCACCACCCATGGCATCTAAGATGTGCACTACAGAAGGGGCTTAGTGTCTTGTATTTACCATATGCTTGCTAACTTGAACACTGTGTTACCTATGCTATATCTGTCACCATTAGTAAAGAGATGCTTTAGATGATTTGGTCTCAGCCAAGAGAGTTAAACTCTGTCCTTTGACAGACTTTCCCAGGCTTCTGTTGACTTTTATGTGTTTATAACGTGTACATGTTTGGGTATTCAGCAGGCAGTTATGTATGCCATGCATAAACCCCAACATAATATTTTATTTGCTTCAAGGATCATCTTGAAATTATGTGTTCCTCCTATTAGAGAAGTATGGCAAAGATGACAGTTTAACCTTTAACCCCATGCCTAATTTTTGGTATTTTCATCTCGCGGTAGTCCTGCAGTGATGACAGAGTTGTTAGACTTAGAAATATTAGGAAATAGTAAACCTCACTCTGTGTAACTGTTCTTTCTGCAGCAAAATGCTGTTGATCCCTAGAAAAGACATTTTTATCTAGAAAGATATTGAGACTATAATTGAGATTTGCCAGAAAATTGTAGTACAGAAAGAAAAGCAAAGCAGCAGTTAACCAGGAAATATCCTTTCCCAATGGTTATTTTGTAGTTTTTATATTGAAATTGTTGCCTCTTTGCTTTGCTTGATTTGAAATAAACCTTGTTATATTCAGTATCCTGCATAGTGAACTCTTCCTTCTCTGAATAGAAAAGTATAACACTAAATAAGGCAAGTGCTGTGGGAACTGACAGCTGTAGAATGCATGATTGTTAATAAAAAAATCATGAGGAAGGAAAGAATAAAGTAAAAAAATGTAGGTTATAGAATGAGTCTTAGGGTCCATCTGTTTTCTGTGACACTCAAATACAGCCACTACTTCATTGCAGTATCTTTGATTTTAACACTTCACAGAATTTCATTATAGCGTAGTCATTATAAAGAAACATAAAGAGTGAAAAAGAATGTCTAAAACAATTTAATATTTGCTAATGTAATTAACTTTCACTATAGAGAATAATTACTTTCGTTTGTAACTAAATTTGTTTTGGGGGCAACAGGTAAACTGATGTGACAACTAAATTCTCTCTTCTGTACCTGGGAGGGTAGTTAATATTTTTCTTCTGACTAGGTTTAACACTTAATGGTAAGTGCATGAGGAACTTCAGTCATAGATTAATCTAAAAATATTACCTACATATCTACTTAATCATAATAGAAAGTAAATGATGCTGATTTTAGAAAGAATTAAAATGCTGAACTCTAAACCCATCTGCTGACTATTATCACTTGGCTTTCTGTGAAGGTAAATGTATTTTAATTTTTTAATTTCAAAAGGATGCTATTTAAAAATTATTATCCCCCTGTTGTCCTTTAGACTGCTCTGTTCCTGTACATTCAAACAGTGGAGCACAGATTGAAAATTGATTTAGACTTAATAGTTTGTTTAGTTGACTCTGTGTAATAAAGATGAAATGTTCTAAACATGAGTCTTAACAGCCAGTGTATTTTGGAAAGTGTTTCCATCATGTGCCAATTATCTGTATCTATACTAAAAGTTGGAACTGCCTTATAAAAATTTGAACAGTAGAACAGTTCAAATTCTGGATTGCTTATGCACATTTGCCCAATGCTACAGGAAAAAATCTTGCCTATCCGGTCCCTGTTTTTCTTCTTGATTAGTCATATTTCTTGCATGTCAATGGATTGTTCTTTGTCTAGACTATTCCTGTTCTCTTTCAAGTGTCTTCTCCGACTGGAGGTGCAAACACAAGCATTCATGCAGGAGTGCTGCTGCTGGATCATGCAGCTGTGAGCTGGCACTTTGCTTCAGAGAGTGGCTGGCTGCTTCTGTGAAAATTTAGCATTGCTGCAGCGTGCCTGGCCCTGCCAAAGGGCCAGGCACATTTTTAAAATGGCTCTTTCTTTTGCTGGCTGACCATGAAACCTGACAAAGCTTGATATTTTCCTTCTTTCTCTGAATGCTGAAAATTAAATTGAGATAAATGTTGATATTGCTCTCATGTTTCCATTTTTGCTTAACATCCTTTGAACAAACAATCTGTGCTAACTAGTCCTCTATACAAATATTACTGATGTTCACTGCCACATGATTACAGATCCATTATTTTCCAAACGCAGAAAACAAGTACTGTAACATATTTGTATCTAAAGAGTTTTTCTTACTTGAAAATGTAGCAAGGTAAAACATTGGGTGGCTGGTGGCTGTTGCAGCTGCTGGCAGAATTCCCACATGTTTTGCCATTAGATAAGTCTGTGGTTGGTTATGGTTGTGTCGAGATAAGGTAAGTGACATTGCACTTAGTTATCTAAAGTGAATCATCTGTGTGCTGAGTGTTTGCAAGAGGTCTTAAAAAGAAGACTAAACAGACTTTCCTGACACCATGGAAAGGGCTCTGAGATATATCAGGCTTGCTGTCCAGTATTAAAGCACAGCAGATCTTCAGTCTTTTCTGGAGCTCCTTGTATGTTCATAAATGAGTATGAATGGGAAAAAAAGGTATGAACTGTGAGAAACCTGTAGCCTATGTGCTGTGCATTCAATAAACAGTAGTGAGAGGCCATAAACTTGGCAGTTCTGAGAATTCCATAGGATATACCAGTTTTACAGCGCATGGTGCTTTTTCATGATTAATAGGCTCTCTCTTGGTTATGGTTGTCTTTCTAGCTTTTTTTTTTGTTGTTTTTCTCAGTTCTTCAGTTCAATTAATTTGTAATGTCAATAGTTCCAAATGATGTCTTGAATATTAAATAGCTTTGATAATGAGATTTTATTACAGCAGTATATGAATGTATGTGGGCAAAATCCTGTTTTATGCATAGTATTGTGTAAATGTTGATTTCTAGGAGAAAAATCTTGAAGTCCACTAATGTTTAATCTCAACACCTGCAACATACCCTTTCTGAAAGAAGCCTATCTTGTGCACATACTATATTTATACGGGTGTGCTGGATGTTATTACAACACAAGACAAAAATGTGAGATTTTGTAGTAGAAGGGAGGCAGAGAATATTTGGGCATTTCAATTAACTTCCAACAAAAAGTGTAAGAATTAAAAATGGGACAATGAAAGGAAACATATAGCCTTGTTACTTATTTTTAAAGACTTACATATGTCAAAGGAAACATCTAGAAATTTTCTATTCTTAATCCCTTAGAACATCTGGGAAGTGCTAGTGAAGATTTTTCTGATGTTTCCAGATGTCTGTACTGCAAAAATATTAATAAATAGTATATGCTTGTAGTGTAGCCATTTGAATATACATGCCCTGGAAGGGGAATTAACATGGTTTCACTTAAGAACTCCCAGTTTTCAGATTGTTCACTGAAACAGGCAGCATTTCAGCATTTCCCCTTTCATGTGCAAGGGCAATGTACACAGGTGACAGCCAAGTCTTGATTTACATGAAGATTTCAGTATTGCTAGTATAGCTTTGCTATGTAGGAGGTGAAAAATTACAGTGTTAGTGCCATAGCTGTGATAACCTTAACCTTAAAGGAAAATCTGATTCACCATTTCACCTAAAGTTTAGGAAGATGGTGTAGAAAGAATAGTTCTGGAAAATGCCTATTTCCTTATTTTTCTACCAAGTCTTCATTAAGACTGAGTTTGTCTGTGAAGTCGCTGCCAGCACCCTAAATTTGAGGCTTCCCTCTGCCACCTCCTCTAGGGGATGAGGTTGGAAGAGGAACAGAACTGAACATCAAAATCACTTAATAGCATAAAAAATATGAACATATTTTTACACAACTGGATTCATAGATAGGATTGCAACTGTGTCAAATTTACATGATAAAGATAAAGACTTGAATAAAGATTTTTGTCTATGGTTACAGATGATTTACAGTCATTTAGACCTTCCAGAAAATAGTCTTCTTGGCAGGCACCATGGAAAGAAGGAGGTTGTGTTCTGAAGCAGTGAAGCATAAACATTTTTCATTTAACCATTGGGACTTTTGTAAGCTTTAGGTGACATGTCTTGGCCTCAAATTTCTGCAAAACATTGTACCATCTTCACAATTTGCTCTCTGGAACAGTATTGTGAGATGAAATCTTGGTTTCTCAGTGAAAGAGAGACATTATATAGGTAAAGAGACAGGATGTTTTCTTTGGAGTGAATAACAAATCACATTTTAGTCCCCACTAAATGTCAAAATCAGCTTGACTGTGACAGCACTTAGCATTTTAGGGCATACTACTAGCAATGCTGTGCCCCCATAAATTGGATACTCCCATATATTGTGTGCACAACTTGCACACTAAAGCGCTCAAAGTTGTATGTTCAAATAGTCTGGTTCTATCTAACATTATTCCAAATCTAGGAAGTTTTTAGGAAGCTTTATTTGCATACACACACACACACACACACACACACACACACACACATATATATATATATGTGTGTGTGTGTGTGTGCATTAATTAATTTCTGAGCTTTTGAATTCTTTGGGCCAGTCTAATCTGGACAACAGAGAGTGTCACAGTCTATTGTGGTGTGTCACAGAGTATTTCTGGAGTTTTATATTTATATTTACTTGCCTGTTTCCCTCTTTTTAAGGTGAACCATGACTGAATGCATCTTTGTTTTTAACATTCTAAGGCACGCTGTCCTTAAAATGATGTTTATACATATTTCTGAATAAATATATTTTCTG